CCAACCAGCCTCAGTAGCCACAGCAGCAGCATCAGCAGCAGCAGCAGCAGCACTCCCCGGCCATTTAGTATGCTGCTGCCAGCTGGCTGGGAAGCAAAAGGCAGGGGCCCCCAGGGGCCCCCAGGGGCTCTGGGGGCCCCCGGGGCCCCGGAGGCCCCCCGGGGCCCCCCGGCGTTTGAGTCTTTAGGGGGCGCTTCAGCCCCGCTGGGCCCCCCGCACAGCAGCAGCAGCAGCAGCAGCAGCAGCGAGTGGCCCTCGCTGCAGCTGCGGATTCTGCGGCTTTCTGGGGGCCCCTCGCTGCACTCGCGGCGCGGTGCTGCTGCTGCTGCTGCTGCTGCGGGGTGTACGTACATTGCAACTGTGGATGGGACTCTCATTCGCTCCGAAGGAGAAAACCAGCAAATGCAGCTCATTGAATTCGCCAGCTTCAAAGGTTAGGGTTTAGGGTTTAGGGTTTAGGGTTTAGGGTTTAGGGTTTGGGAGGTTAGGGTTTAGGGTTTAGGGTTTAGGGCTTGGGATTTAGGGTTTAGGGTTTAGGGTTTGTGGGGTTCGGGTGTTAGGGTTTAGGGTTCAGGGTTTAAGGTTTAGGGTTTGGGGGGGTTTAGGGTGTTATGGTGTTAGGGTTTAGGGTTTAGGGTTTGGGGTTTGCGGGGTTAGGGTTTAGGGTTAAGGGTTCGGTGCGCGGCGTGTAGCGTGTCTGCAGAGTCACTTGGCTTTATGTAAGGCCTAGTGCCTAGGGTTTAGGGTTTAGGGTTTAGGGTTTAGGGTTTAGAGTTTGTGCTGCAGAGCAGCTGCAGCTGCGGCGTTTGTTCCTTTCGCCTTCTGGCAGCCACTTGGTTGCTGCAGCAGCAAACGGGGTTACGGTGTACGTACACCGCAGCAGCCGTGCTGCTGCTGTGCTGCAGCAGCTAAAAGGAAAAATAATTGAGTGTATAGCCTGGAGGCCCCAAGCAGCAGATGACGGCGCCGGCGCCTTTCTCCTAGGTAGGGTTTAGGGTTTAGGGTTTAGGGTTTAGGGTTTAGGGCTGCGGCTGAGGGTTTACGGTTTGAGGTGTTGGAACTGCCTTGCACTGCAGCAACTACAGGCTGCTACTGACGGGGGGAAAAGCCCGGAAGTGAGGGTTGTTAGGCCTTAGGGTTTAGGGTTTAGGGTTTAGGGTTTAGGGTTTTGTTGCAGGAACCCGCTGCGGCAGCGTCATGGAGTGCCTTATTAGCGGCGGCAAAGAGCGGCAGCTGCGGCTGCTGCTGCAGCTGCCAAAGGCAACCCCAGCCCTAAGCCTTGCTGTTGTCTCTGCGGGGGTGAGTTTTGCTGCTGCTGCTGCTGCTGCTGCTGCTGC